GCCCCATGACTCCCAACAAGCTAGCTCAATGACCTACAGTACACTCTGGACTGTGAGTACAGTAGTAGTAGTTTCCTAAATGACTGCCTTTGATCTACTCTCCAAGACCTGAGATCAAAGCGGCTGGTTAGATTGGGGAACTCCCTGGATCTGGCTGCTGTACAGCTTCAATCTGTTTCCAAACATTGAGTGGTGGTGTGAGTTCATTTGCAGTTTACTGCAAAGTAATTTTAAAAGACACCTATAACAGTCAGCATTACTAGGGCAGCAAGCACTACTCCATTTGATGACTCAGCTTTCTTGGAACCTTTGAATGGAGAATGATTGAGAAGGCAAGTCACCTAAAATATCTAAATATATACAGGAAAACCTACTAATTAAAAGTCCTACACATCATTTTCCAGCTGGTATATCTTACACTCCACCCTTGTACTCAGCACACTTGGTCACAAAAATGAGCTTTCTAATCCATTTTATAAGCAGAGAAACTGCTGCAAACTGGGGCCGTGGTTGTTGTTCTTTTATAAAAGGCTATATAAAAAGCTTTTTTCCAAAAAAAAAAGTTTTTTTTTTAAAAAAAAAGCTAAGTTCAGAGAACAATATGCAGGGCTGGAGACATTCTGCAAAAATACAAGGAATTGGAAAAGTTTAAGGGTTGATGTGGAAAGTTGAATGCCACCACTGAATTCAAGAGAGCACCTCTTGTGTTGGAATCCATGTGCAAAAAAAAAAAAGAGGAAAAGAGAGCTGGCAAGTGAGTGAATGGCATATTGAAGCTATAAAAGTTTCAAAATGGTTACATTCCAGAGAGATTAGAACAAGCCCTAGTTGCTTGTTACCTTCCTTTTCTTCCTCCTCTCAGCAACTGGGAGAATGAAAAGGATTTTAACTATTTCTCTCCCACATGCTGTTGTGCCACACACACAGTACAATGCATCCTGCTGTCTGCAAATTAACCTGCCATTTGCCAAACAGCTTCTCCTCAGCTGGGGATTAAGATTCACCAATTCATACAACAATCCACCGGGTCTGCAAACCTAAGCCTGAACAATAGGGCATAGACAACAGGCCCTGGCTTGCCCACATCTGCTATAGTCATTTTAGGAATAGGTCTTTACTCTGGAAGAAGCCTGTAGTAAACTAAGAGGAGGAAGGAAAAGAAAAAGAGAGTTGCTATAGCCAATTAGGGATGTTTTTAAAAGGCCAGATTTCCTGCCTGTTACAGACACTGCATCTGAACAACGAATGGCAAGCTCCACTTTGCTTTACAAGTACTTAATACTCTGTGGGGTTAAATGCTCATAAAAATCTTTTGCTTGCATACCATACAATATTAAAACTTTAAAACTGCTACCAGTTACAAATAAGGAGTGATCAGCTTCAAAAGACCTCATTGTACATTAAAGCATGTTTTAAAGAAATATTCAAATTATGGAGTCTCATGGCCGTGACCTGCCTAATTTTAAATGATTGAATTTGGACTGAAGTTGAAACATGTGGAGGGAGAAACTGAAGGAGGATATTACAAGCAACATATGAACTTGAAACCCCCCCATCACAAGATCTAGGATTTAATCTGAAGATAGAAGTGGTTAAAACCAAATGGATTAAGAGACTGTTCCGAAGAATTTAGAATTAATTCACTCTTCATAATCTACCGTAATACTATTTCAAAATAATCCATTATACTGATTAGAAGTCTCTGTAGCAAGCTCAGAAAAGGTAATCCTATTTGTTGATTTTGAGAAGCATTTTGTTGCATGAAATAAGCTTATTTATATAATTCAATGTCAATTTGGGATAGAGAAGTTTTTTTAAGTAAGATACATGCAAAAATTTCAGTTACATGTTAATATAATATATAATATTCAATATTAGAATTCTTTGTGGAAAAAAGACATAATGGGGCAAGATGTAAATTTACTCTTTTTGCAGAATTTGCCTAGAAGTTTTGGACAGTTAATTTAAATACAGCTACATGGATAAGTTTTAAATCCCCAGGAAGAAAGAACAAATATATATTCAATTACACGTAACTATTCTTGAACTGAAAATGCAATATGTATTATTCTTCCTCTAAAACATAATTGTTTTCCTAAAATCATAATAAACTCTTACAAAGGAAATTCAATAAGAATTGAGAAAGTCACAATTTAATATCATTTGGGTAGGGATGTTGATTGTACAGATGAGATTATGACAATTATTTTTGCTATTATTTATTCAAATATAACACTTTATATAAACTACCAAAAAGTAAAAATCTTTAAAGAATCCTGTTTCAATCTGGATAAAAGAATTAAAAACATATATTTTAACAACTTGTATACCAAATAGATCTAAAAACTGCACCTTTTGAAAACTGGATATAATTTACAGCAAATCTGTGCATTAAAAAGATTATAATACACAAGTTGAAAACAAAAGGATCCTTGGAAACATAGCCATTCGACAGAAAAGTCTAATGAAGATCACAGAAAAAACAATGTGTGGTTTCATAGAAACTATGAAGAAAAAGAGCAAAATCGTATCACTTTTACAAACCTTCTAGATATTAAATATACAAGAAATAAATATGTTTCAGTTAAAAGTGTACTTGAAACTATAACCGAGTGGCACTTGAAATCATCTTGATAAAAATATAAATAGTAATACATTTCAGATTTGATATACCGGTATATGCAGTAGAAATGCTGAAGGCATGATCTTGAGGTGTAACCTTATAATCTATTCCTGAAGATCAAGTAATTAAAATTAGAAAATATTTCAGATGATGTCTGGTGACTTTACTTGCTATCCGGAAAAAATATGGTAATTAATTATAAACAGAAAAAAATAAATTCAGTCAGCAGGGATAGCAGTGTATAAAGATGAGATGCATGGCAGGATGAAAACAAAAGATCTGCAGTTTCAAAGTATAGAGCAAGACCGTGAACGAGTAAACTTTTATTTAGAAGTGAAATAGTTGTATTCCAGATTGGAATGAAAAGAAGTTCAATGTCTTTTTCCATCCTATTCCCTGCTAGAGAAATTTAATACCTGCTTAATCATGAAATACATAGATTAACTTGTTTATTTATCATTACTGTTATTTTTTTACTATTCTCTTTATTCACATATAATTAAAATGAGCTGTTATCGTTAACAACATTTTCAAACATATTCATGAATATATTACATGAGTTAAAAGAGATGACACAACATCTTTGGCAGGCAGAGGCAACAAATGCATGAATCAAGTTTAAACAAAGTGAAGAAAATAATATTTAATAATAAATTAAAAATTAGATTTAGTTTAATTTGGTTTAAAAACAATACCAGGTTTACACATTAATAATTAAAAATACACAGGCAATTGTGACATTTTAAAACACCAATGGTAGGACAGAATTGACCCTACAAACATTAAAAATGCTTTTTAAAAAATGACTGAATGCATTGAAATAATAAATTACAATGGCAAACAAAAAACAACTTTGTAAATAAAATAAGTAAATTCATGTTGTTGGAAGTAAGCATTCCTGAATCCTATACCTAGTTTCTTAAAAGCATTTTGAAATGCAGTTTAAAATGAAGTAACTACTGCAGCAACTACTGGTACAATAAAAACCACATGATCAAAAACTTGGTATCGATAACGTTGCACATTTATCAGCTACTTCTTTCTTTCTTTCTTTTTCTTTCTTTCTTTCTTTCCTTCCTCCTAATCCATGCCATTCATACATGAATATTCCATAAGCTTAAAAGTATCTAATTTCAGACAGTGTACACTCCTTGCAAGTTTTGTGTGTGATAAAATATAAGTAGTCTGAAAACAAACCAAAACATTACCAGGCTAGATAAAATGGGTACTTTCACATAGCATGTTCAACTATAATTTATTAAACAAGCTATTAATATTCTGAATCTGATTTGTAAAAACCACTACAGCTAGATTCACACATTATGGCTTAAGCAGGAAATATGAATGAATTTCTAAATACAAAAGGCCCATTTTATAATAAAAACTATTACTTTCTAAAACAAATATAATTTTCTATGAACTGTATCATCAAGTAAGCAGAATAGTTTTTGGGATTAAAGCATTAGTCTAAAATATGCTGCCCCAAATGTTGTTTAATTTCTTCTCAAATTCAAACAGAATTTACCTAATTCCTGGACCACCATGTTTTCATCCCTAATGAAATTCAATGATTAAATAAATATTTGGAAGGTATGTAAAGACAAAACTACCTACTAACCAAATTCAGCAGAATCTATTTAGTTGCCATTTGTTTGTTGATATAACAAGATAAATCACAGCTCTGCATCTTAATAGCTGTAGGAATTCTAGCAGGGCCCTCTGTTTAGGAATTGTTTAACCCTAGGAATTAAATGTTTTGGATCTGTAAATTCCAAAAGCAGAGCAACAGAAGAAAAATGTTTCCAAATTGGGTTATGTCCGTGGTATTGCAAGATTCCAAGTCAGCAACCAGAATCACTTACATTCCCTCAATGGCAAGAACAGATGAAATCCCTGAATATCTGGATCTTTCATATTTAGTCTTACAACATTTAAGACAATCTTATTTTTATGGCATAATGTATATGTAACCTTTGAAATCTTACAACATGTAAGATTCTTTATTGTTTTTGTTACAATAAGAGCCCAGCTAGAGTTTCAAAAACTTTGCAAGTATTCTCACGCTAATGCATTAAAGTGAAGCATAACTTTTTTACATATTTAATGTAATTTTGGAAGTTTCTGAAAAATCTGTTCTGTGTTTTGAACACTGACAGGTTGAGAGAAATACCAAGAGCTTAGAGGAGAGATTCAAAAAGATGTTAACCCTAGAAAGGGCTGAACAAGTTAGTGTTATGATTGTACTTCCTCTGAAAAGGCAACAGGGCCTCTCAGCCCCATGGGAAAGAGGAAGAGGCAAAACACTGAAACTGCAAATCCTGGCATATGAGGTTGAACAGGATGGTGGCAACAAGTGGGTCAAAGATCACCCAGCCAGCCTGATCTGGTTTCCATGGATATGTAGCCTATTCATACAGTGCACAGAGGGCTCTTCACAGCCACTTTACACACAACTGAATGACTACTCAAACCTCTGCAGGCCCGATCTTGGAAGGAGAGACACATTAGATGGACAAAGTTTAATGGAGTCATTTAAAACAGACAACCAGCAGAACAGGCCCTGGAGAACTTTACAGCTATTGTCAAAACTGCCTAATCACAGCATCAAGGTGTAAGCCGGAACAACAGAGGTTCTTCCATCCTTTCACTTGCCCCTTTCTGCTCCACAGTAATCTCCCTAATCTTTCAAATCTAACCAATATTATTCTTCCAGTCCACTTTCCAATTTTTGATTGGCTGGCAAGCAGCCTAGTCCTCTCTTCCCTTGAGAAACCTGCTGGACACATGATCCTGGTTAGCGGGGACAAATTTTAGCTGATAACAAGGGAGATATCAGGGGGCCTAGTGATACCCATGGCAATCAAACTGCCAGCACCAGAACTGGGCAAGTTTCTCTTTCAAGCCATAGCAAGAAGTCAAACTAAACAGATTCAAAACTAGATGCAATTTTATTTTAAACTTAGCTAATATAATGAAATCTGGAAATATTCTGAGAAGGTGTAGTGGTTAAGGCATCAGGATAGAAACCAGAAGGCTAATTCTGCCATGGGCATGCAGAGTGACATTGGGCCAGCCACATCCTTTTGACCCCAAGAAAGCGGCAATGTCAAGCCACTTCTGTAGATCTTGTCAAGAGAACTGTGTGGGTCCAGGCAGTTGCCAAGAGTAAATTATAATTTGTAGGCACTAGAAATAAAGAATTTTTAAAATGCACCTGGTTTTGGTGAAATCATTGCTAAATTTTGTCCACTGAAGATGACTAAGGAAATAACAAAATATAAAGAACACATAGATTTAGCTCAGGAATTCTGGGAGTTGAACTCTACAGGTCATAAAGACCCACGCCTGGCTCAGCAAGACAACAATTAATAACACGTTTTTTTCTGGGCATGATAGCAATAGCATTGTGTTCCCTCTAACCTTGAGCTCTGCTTTTTATTGAGCGTGTAAGGAAGAGAGTGAAACTTACACTCGCTGATAAGTTGAACTGGAATGTTAACAACTTCTATAGCCCCACACATAACAAGAAAGAACAGAATCAAGAATAACTCTGGCTCTTCAAAGAATCTAGTTTTTCAAACCGACCAATTACTTTTTGGTAAAACTTGACTGTATGAATTCCACAAATTGAAGCAATTAAATATTTCTCCCTCTCTGCATTCATGTGTATCTGTTTTTAGGGATACTAAAAGAAATTCTCTCAAGTTAACATACTTATGCAATTTCGCAGCTAGCAGAAGCAGAAGGGTACCTTGCTTCATTCATGGAAAAGATGATCAATATTTGGGGATGGAATCACAGAACAGCCTAGGCAAATAAGCAAAACCCACATGGCTCCTTAATCCATTGATTGGTGTAAAAAATTTTTTTTAAATAAATGAAATATCCAATATGTGCTAAAATTAAATTATTAGAGTTTGAAAATAAACATCAAAAAGACCACCACCCTCTGTATTTCTAAAATTCTGAAAGTCTCAGCAATAATGCCTTACGTAGGGAACAACTGCTATATATCACCTTCACACAGCAGAACCAATGAAGTCAACTAATTAACATGCTCAATAGTACCCCACTGTCTTACAACACAAGCATCAGGCAAGAGAATGCCAGAACACTCCCAGTCTATCAGCCCCATAGTTGTCTGACCTGGTAATCTAAATTCCACATTCTTATTTACTGCCTTGGGATTGAACAACAGAGAGGAAACATAGCTTGGTTTCTGCTATTGGCCATTAGAAGTTATAGCTACTAATTGCCAAAAGAAGTATCCTAGGAAGGGGGAGGTGGAATAGGAAGATGAATGGACTTTGAAGGAACTGCTGTGGGGAATTTATTTGTCCCATTTGAATTGTTGATGATGTTTCCCCCATCAGAAATATGAGTCACTTTGGGAATGCAGACTTCATTGAGTGTGCATGTATTAATTCTGAGAGCAGGCATTCTTATAGTCTATAGTAAATACCCTTTTTTATCAAAAGATGAGACATCAAGTGCATGCGTAAAGTATATAGTTACTGTCTTCATTTCAGTCTTTCAGTAATGAACATTTAACAGTCTTTCAATAATCTTTTAATTTGGCATCCTGTATGATGGTTTGGGTAAGAAACTCCCTGTACTCAGTAATAACAGACAAAAGCTTTTAAATTGTGGGTTGGCAAGCCTTTTCACTCCAATGGTTGTACAAACTGCCTGAGAAACCCAGAGAAGTGCACATACCCACATTTATACACCACAATAATATATATGTGTATATTCTCATACAGACAAACCACTTTCACTTATCTAGAGCAAGACTTGTGTGAGGAAGAGTAAATAACATGATTTCTGTCCTCTGAGTTTGTTGATTATTAACTTCTTGCTAGGGGAAACAGGCAGGTTTTCTGGGAGGGAAACAGAATTGTCCCACTCCCCACAAACCAAGTCCCAGCATGATGGTTAGGAATATTGACTTTTTCACTGAGCCAGAAACAAGTGGTGTGGAGTAGGGACACCACTTTAGAGCAGAAAGGTAGAGAGGAAGACAGTGTAAAAAATAGCAAGAAAAAGGTGAACTGGATCATACAGTTTTAAAGGCCACCTTTTTAATAATATCCAACCAGAAGATTGTCCATGTTTGCTGTAAAGGTTCAATAGGAACCAATACAGGGTAACCAAGAAAAATGTTTAGTTGAAGATTGCATCTAAAACAGCTATACAATAGAAAGACTCATAATAATAAAATTGGAGGATCTCATGCATACATGTTAGAGACAAACAATATTACAATAAATATTACAATAAAACAGAGATTTAGAACATTAACTAGGTGGTGGAATGAAAAGGGGACTTGTCCAGAGAGTAATTGTTGCCAAAGAGTAGTGATTCAATCTGGCTAATGGGATGGGGATGAAGAGGGATAGTTAGTTTATATTTTGTCCCCATGAGTCTATTTTTTGTTAAGAAACTAAAACAGTATATGAAAGAAATTCTATTCCAAGCTGGTACACATTATTTTACCAACGGGCATCTATTTTCATTTTTATTGTTAAACACTATACATTCCAAACAGTTTTAAAAGAAAGCAACTTATCACAAGCTACCTATTTTTAAAATCTGCTTCTTTGAACCAGACTGAGCCTGAATGATGCTTTTTTAAAAATTGTATTAGGACAAGCAGCTATTGCAGGACAGAATGTTCAAGTATTGCACAACAGTACTTTCTCAGATGCACCTATGTTTACATGGAAAGAATTAATCATCTAGAAAAAAAAACCTTGACCCACTGATTCTAAAGCAGGCCACTTCATTTTTTTGCCAAGTTTGGCAATTAACAAGAGCCCATCACAACAGTATGGAGGCCCAATGGCTTGTGTGTACAGCATATAATCAGTCACCCACATCAAATCTTTCATCCCTTTTTAGGCCTCAAACCATAACCTGCCCACAAAAGGTTGGCCTCTGGTGTTTCTGAATATCAGATTCCTTCAATTGCACTTGGTGGTTTACTGCCTGAACAAATTACATTAACAATGCAGAGAAATGTATACACTGTCTTAAATACAGGATTGAGCTGGGACCAAAACAAAGGCAACAGTATCCTAGCAACAAGCCTCAGCCTGCTCCTCACCAACTGGATTTCTGGACTCTGCCATGAATTGGGAACCACTGAGTTCCACTCTTTTGCTGCAAGCAATTAAGGACCGAAAAGTCCCAATTACAACTGGGATTTACAGCCAAAGAAACATTCTATAAATCATTGCCCCAACCCCCTATTCCTTCTCAAACCAAATAATCTCATCCAGATGTTTAGTTACAGCTGTCTAAATGTGTGGTATATTGTTAATCAGCAAGACTGATTTTCTCTGTAAAATGTCAAGGACTAAAGTGCTAGAGCTTCATATACAGAGACAAGATTTTCTAAATCTGAAGTCATCAACTACAACATGTGGTGGTGATTGAATCCTTATCAAGGAAAGAAAAGGAACTTGGTTGCATTTCCTGTTTTCAAGTAGCAGATGCAGTCTCTTCAAAAGCCATTCCTTTCTCCAACCCCTTATCTTGAATCATTCCTATTAAGGAATACATAGTCAGGTCTCCAAGTCCTGTGGAGGACCATGAACATCTTTCCCCACATTTGAAATGTTACTGCCTCTGCAAAGCCATTCAAACAATCTTCTCTCATCTGGCTTCTGTATATTAATTATGGTGTTGGGCTGTGTTTTTGGAGATTGTTTTGATGGTTGGGTTTTGAGAGCGGACTGTTTTTAGATATTTGTGTTTTTATGGATGATTGATGTTTTTCATGGTTTTTCTGCATCTTCATTATTGTAACCTACCCTAGAATCTTGGGATTGGACAGTATATAATCCATTCTCACCCACATTCAGTATTACTGGGTGGTAAAAGAAAAGGAGGGGACTCCATGAATATCACCACCCTGAGCTTAAGATGGGATAGAGTGCTCTCTGTCTCACTCTGTCTCTCTCACACACACAGAGGGAATGGATTTGAAAACTTCTCACGGTGATTGGCGTTATATGCCATACAGGACTTACAAGCATTTGTTCAGTGGACTCCCGGTTTGGACTTCTTCGGCGATGGACCAAAGTCGCGATCATCCACGGTTTTGATCTGTGCTCATCGCTGGAGCGCCCCGAGCCACCCGGATTCGGGGCTGAAGCCACCCCATAGAGGTGGTGAAGAAGGGGGAGCCGTCAGCGGGGTTGAGGACAGCTGCATCTCTCCTCCTCGGCTGGCCATTACTCCCTTTCCCAAAGGCAGTTGCAGCGGTGGTCAGAAATGGCCACCTCAAAGAAGAACCCGACCAGACAAGATTGTGCAGGAGGAAGTTTAAAGGAGAAGGTTTGACTGACCGGGTTGAATGGAGCACATCTATTTAAGGTACCTG